CTATGTGTCAGGGGATTTTATTTTCAGCAAAACTCTTTCCTCATTTTTGCATGAAGCCTCTTATGGTATTCCAGAAAAATCAGGTTTTTTAAACTGAACTAAACTATTTAACTATTTTTAACTGTTTAAACTGCATTTTTTTAATAAAGACAAGTGTTCAGATTTATTCGGAAATTCACAGTTTCTAATGGCACTACAGCTCTGTAGTTACATATTTAAAATCCTCTTTCCATGACACATAGATGATGTGACATCCCCCATCTCCACTCTTCTCTGGACTTCTTCTCAAGGGCCTGCTATACAATCAGGCCTTGTTGCTCTGAACGGCCAATTGTGCAGACTGGAAAGAAAAACATTTTGTCTCCTAAAAGATACTGTTACCCTAAAGCAGCAACTTAAACAAAAAATGCTTTAAATAAGTCACATTACAAATACCAAGAAAGGTATTAGACAAATTTTTAAAAAATTAACAAAAGTGCTCAATAAGTTATAACTTAAATTTTACAAACAAAAGGGTCAATTCTCTCTCAAAAAGAAACAAGTTTCACTTTCACTCATTTCTGTACAATCACACACCAAAAAAATCAGTTTACTCAGTCACTGCCAATTATTTTTTCAAGGAAAAAAAAAAGGACAAACGAAGACAGACATTGCATCACACATACAGATCTCTGCACATTGGAGCCAATACAAAGCAAGCATCTAGGTATCATAATCCCATTAGACTTAACCAATAACATTAAAATAAGGCTCAACAAACTCACTGGCTGGCTCTCTGGATATGTACAAAGGCAGTGATTCAATCATGTGAAACCTGATCTCAGTGACATAAAAGTTTGGTGAACGAGTGTTTACTGTAAATGTTTAAAATGCAATGTAAAGAAATCTTCATAAAGTTAAGTGCATTTAAAGGTGAATCCACACTAAGTTTGCTTTCAAACACTTGTCATCTGCAAGCAAAGGTCTGACAGTTTCACTGAGTTTGTAACTCAAGAAAAATGAATCCAGTCCTACTAAATGAAATGAAACTAAGGGTGAAAATATCACCATCACTTAAAATGAGTTTTAAGAGTTCCAGCAAGTGAGTTTTATTTGCAGTGAGTTTGCTGAGCGGTTCTGAGTTGGCAAGTCTTTAGGATCTATAGGCATCTGACCCACAAGCCAAGCTTCAGCACAGACCACCTTAAAGCCTTGTAGTGTTTGCAGCTTCAAAAATCTAATAAAGTTACAAAACAAATCAAACGACAGTTCTCCCTCCTCTTCCAGTGGCATTATAAGTAGACAAAAGGCACATAAATATGGGAAGGTGCGAGAAATAGGAACCAAGCTGAAGGAAGAGGTGTAGGCTTTCATTCCTATCCCATCTGAGAACTGGGCTTCCAAATTACCTTTGTCCCAGTAATTATCCATGAAAAAGCATCTTTACAAAATGTCTACCATTGTCCTTGAATACGTGATCAGCCTTGTAAAACTGTAGTTCATTAACCAAGATTGACACAATCCTGTCTACTTTTGAAAAAGGCAAAAACCATAATTTCTGAATACTTTCCCCAGTATTTTCTCCCTTCCCAAACCCATCAAATACCACAGACTGTTCAATGAACAAAAAAGTCTCCAGTATGAAAAGTTCAATTAATTTTAAATGTGTCCCGAGACTGCTGTAACACCAAATGTTCCCACAGTGATTTCTTTGTTTCCTTTTATTATGTCATGCAGGCTCGGCAATGATCCCGACTTAGTCTGTATAAGAGTTTTTATTAATTTTCCTTGGTCTTGGACTTTAGACCGCCTTCGTTTTAAAGCCCTCTTCTCAGTTTTTGTCTTTTGGGACTGTCCATTGCACAGACTTGTGCAAGCTGAAATGCCACAAAAATAGGACTCTTCTGACTGTGAAGAAGTTTCTGAGCTTCCCTCAGATGGAGGGCCCTTGTAAGAAGAGTGATAAACTTCTCCCATATTAGAAAAATCTCTCTGGTTCGTAAAGGGCTTTCTCCCCTTTATGTCTCCATTGGCTACTGGATGCAATGGTTCTGCAGGCTTTATCGTCTCAATTTTTTCAGTTTTGTATTTGCAGCGTTTCTTCTACAATAGAAATAAAAGTTAAGCACAGGAATTACACCCCCTTATTAGACACGAGAGCTAATTAGGAGAGGACAATATTGCTGTCTGGCAAGAAGTAAAACAGGACCATACACGCACACTCATTGCCCAGTTGTGCTCTGAATAGACCCCTATTATAAATACTACTCAACCAAAACCTTCAATTGCTTATCATCCACCACTGAATACAGAGTTAGGTGGTAGCAACTAATATCTGAATACCTACTATGTGCCAGATGTTATACCGGTTACTTTCATGTATATTTTGTATATTAACTCTGAAATGTTTGTCCTTGGCTTTTAAATGAGAAAATTCAGCTTCAGAGATTTGGCTCCTTCCCTAAGTTACAAAGCAGTGAACAGTCAAGTTGGAATCATGTCTGAAGCTATTTGGCACTAAGTCCCAAGTCCTATTACCTAGAGATAATTACTGATAATTGAGACAAATTTAATTTGGGAGGCACAACAGAAAAGCAGCCTTTGTAGCCAAAAAAACCTAAGCACTACTAAGCACTGTCTACCATCGAATGGGTCATCTAAGTAAGACATGTCTCTCAGTTTGTTTTCTCATTTAAAAGTTGTGAATACTACCTTAGGTTGTTGGGAGAGCTGCAAGGTAAGTGTGTGCACTGTGTACCTGACAAGCATTAGAAGCTTGGTAAATGAAAACTATCACCCAAGGATCAGAAAACTTTTTCTTTAAAAGGATGGATAATATTTTAGGTTTTATAGGTTTCATACATGTCTCTCTTATGTACTTTTGGTTTTGCTTTATAATTCTTTAGAAATGAAAAATACTTCTTGGTTTATATGTCATAAAAAAATAAGGCTATTGTGGACTACGGGTCACAGTTTGCTGAGTCTCTAAATATTTATTTACATCATTATCATCACTGACAATGAACACTACAGGGGCTGGGGGGATGTGTAGCTCAGTTGGTAGCATGCATGAAGCCCTGGGTTTGACACTTAGCACTCCAGAAAACCAGGTGTGGCGACAGATGCCTGCAATCCTAGCATTCCCCCTCAGGAGGTGCAGACAGGGGGATCTTTACTAGTTCAAGGTCATTTTCAGGTACATAGCAACTTGGAGACCTTCTCAGAAACAAACAAAAAATGGAACATTATCTATAATCCCAGCATTTGGGAGGTTGAAACAGAAGGATTGCCATGAGTTTAAGAAAAGCCTGGGCTCATATTAAATTATATTTTAGAGAAGTCTGAGCTACAGTATGAGACCCCCTTGTCTCAAAAAATAAAAACTAGGGACAGCAAGATGGATCTGCAGGTGGCACTTGCCACTACACCTGACAAAATGAACCCACACAGGGAGAACCAACCAGGGTAAGCTACCCTCTGACCTTCATATATGTGTCCCACCAAATAAATTTAAAAACAACAAAAACCACCCAAAACATCCAAAAAGGAAAACATTAAAATAAACATTATGCCAAGAAATACCTAAAGATCACATTAAAACTTTCAATCTTTTTTTTCTTCATTTACTTATAAATAGCTTATCAATAAACTTCGAAAGAGAATATTACCTTTTTCTCTGGAGAGAACTTCAAGGGTTCTACGATGTACAGGTCATTCGGGTCTACTATAAGTAAAGAAAACAGGATGCAAAATGAAAAGTGGAATACGCTGTGACACCCAAAACGGCATTACTTACTGATTATTTATAGAACCAATACATTTATATTTGTATGAGAATAACTATTATTTATGTATTTAAGAACTAATAAGCCAGAAGGCCAAGGTAGGAGATGGTATCGTTCCTATTTTGGCCTTGGTCAAAGTTAACGTGAAGGTTGGTCATCAACGCTGAAGACAACCTTCAAGTAAGTATGTTTCTTTTTTATGTTTTTAATTTAGTTATCAATCAATACAGGAAGGACCATTCTTCGGACCAGACCCATACTCTTACCTGACAAGAATAACATAACTGAGTAAACCAATACCAAGTCTACAGGTAATCCCTAAAAGACTGTGTCAGAAAGGTAGATTAATAATGTGTGTCAAGCAGTTGGAACCATATAGAAGTCAGAGGAGCACAAAATAAGAGACTCAAGAATTTTTTTTGTTGTTGTTATAATTAAGACTACTAACACTGTAATATAAAAACAATTTGTGACCATGTGACCAAGCAATAATGAATGAACATTATGGATCTATAAGTTTTTCAAAGTTTTAAAAATTTCATTGCTCAAAGCACATTCAGGACAACCCTAACTTCCATACAATGACAAGATAAGCATATATCGCTAAGAAGTCCTAACTTTAGCTTTGTTCAGCCTGCTGAAACAATTTACGGTCTCACACAGATAAGACTAATACAATAAGTAGAAAATTTATCATAAACAGGCATATACCAGAAACTAATAACATGATTCAACTAATTACAACTTCACCCAAAAAAAATTCTTGAGAAAGTTGTTGAATATATAAAAATATAGTAATTTATACAGATCACTAATTTCAAGCTGCTTTTTACGATGCCTTCTTCTAGGAATGGTTATTAAGCTACTCAGATCAACTTCCTCACTGCAAACAACTAACTACGATGAGAGAAACAAAGAAAAAAAATGCCAAAGAGCCTACAATCTAGCTCTTAAATTATACAGATAATTTTTCAAAATGAAAAAGCAAACAAAGAGGACTAAGCACACAATGGCATACCATATCTTGAGGAAGAGCCAACAAACACAGATAGATGGATTCAGAAAGATTTAAGACACTAGGACTATCAAACACAGGACAGACTACCCATCATCTATGGCCATACCACCCTGAATGCACCTGATCTTAAACACAGACTATGAAGACACTGTGCTTATAATGTTGAAATAAAAAAAGCTTGAAAATACCCATGAGACACACAAAATAAGAAATAAAGAAGGCTAGTCCAGATAGGTTTTTAAAAAACAAAATACAAAAATAGCTTTAGAAACAGAAAACATACTAAGTGAAATTTAAAACAGATTAGTCAGAGCTGTAGACTGTTATGGTTTAGAAAACAGATCAAAAAATATTCACCAAGAAATGTAAGAAAGCAAAACGAGACTAGAGAGACTGGCTCAGTAGTTAAGAGCACTTACTGCTATCATAGAGGACCTGAGTTTGGTCCCCAGCACCCATGTTGAGTGACTTACAACAACCTGTAACTCCAGCTCCAGGAGATCCTCTGGCCACCAAAGGCACCTGTGTTCATGTACACAGATAACCACCCTCCATAACTGAAAAATAAATCTTAAAAAAAAGAAAACGCCAGGCGTGGTTGTGCACACCTTTAATCGGGAGGCAGAGGCAGGCGGATCTCTGTGAGTTCAAGGCCAGCCTGGTCTACATAGTGAGTTCCAGGACAGCTGGGGCTACAGGGAGACCCTGTCTCAAAAAGACCAAAAAAAAAGAAAAAGAAAACAAAAAGATGGAAAGTTTACAAGACAGAAAGGATATATAGATATGGACTAACAAATTTACAAATTTTGAGAATCTAGGAAATGGAGGAATAGGTGACATTTGAGGAGAAAAATAATGGCTGACAATTTTCCATTACTCATAAAAGATATCAATCTATAGATTTAAAAAGACCCAGAAATCTCAAACAGGATTAAAGAAAAAAAGAGAACAGCAGTTCAGAGGTTCAAGAGATGTAATGAGAAATGAAAGATCTTAGAAAAATGATTAAAACACCAAAGAACTCAGTAAATATGCAGGTTAAACGAACAATAAATATAAAATCGAACAATAATATCTTGAGTTAAAATTGAACAGAAAAACAGAGTTAAAGCAAAAACAATGCAAGTAAATACTATAAACTATCATAAAATAAATAAAATTGGGGATTAAATAAGTGTTTTATATTGTGTTGGTTTAAAAGGTGGTAAAATATTGCTTTAGACTTCAGTAAGTACTTCTAAGCTGATGGGTGACCAATGAAAGAACAAAAACTGTGTCCAACTTCTAACCTAAGAGTACTAAGAAGAAACTACCTGCTTTCTCCTAAACGAAAACTTAAGAAGGCAAGGAAGGGGCACATATTAGAATGCTATAATAGCAGATGCTCCTACTATAAAAGCTAAAATCAGAAAACTGTGTGCTACTACATCTTAACATTTAGGAAAAATGGGCAGATTCTTGGAATTGTAATTTAAAGTCACCAGAAAACACCATTCTTATAACCTAAGCTATAAACCTTAAAGTACTCCCACAAGAAAAAAAATTCCATACTTATGCAACTTCACTGAATTAGAAAGAAACACACATAATCTTAAATGACTTCTGAGAAAGAGAACATTACTATGACACTTTTAAATTAATCTGACCACGATATCTGAGAGAATAACTTAAAGGAAGAAAACTTGATGGCTTCTATGTTTTCGGAGGCTCAGTTTACCGCGGTAGCAAAGGCATGGTACCCACAGCAGTGGAGGGAAGCGCTGGCACTGCACTCATTTTCCCCTTGTCTCTCTTTTATTCTCTACAGGCCTAGACCTGTGGGATGGTACAACCCGCATTCAGGGAAGGCCTTTCCTACTCTCAGTTAATCCTTTCTGGAAATGGCATCACAGACACATTCATAGTTCTGCTTTGCTAATCTCCTAGGCACTTCTCAATCCGGTCAAGTGGACAACTAAAATTAACCACCATAATTACACATCTAATTATTATAAGCCTTACACACTAAAATCTAATCTTAGAAATAAAAACAATCACATACTGTCTTATTCATGAACAGATGTAAAATTCCTAGTCATCAAGCAAAATTATGTATTAACAATACATATAAAAGCTTCCCCCAATGATCAAATGATGTTTAACCAATGTATTGTCATTTTCATTGAGTTATTTTGAGGGGACTCAAGAGACAGCTTAGTGATTATGATGAACTTTAATGAACTTGAATGGGAAAGTGGCATAAAAGAACACATGGACTACGTAAGCACAGAGGTGAGAGGAATCGGAAAGAAATGCTAACGATCAATAACATGAGCAGTAATAAACACCCTTGACAGACTCAAAAGTAAATGACCATGGCTCAAGAAAGAATTTCTGAGTTTAAGGATATGACAATAAAAAACTGGAAACAGAGAAAAGACTTGGAAAAAAAAAAAAGATACCCATAACTATGGCACATTTAAACAGGATGTAAATATAAACTTAATGGGAAAACCGCAAGGACAAGAAAGAAGAAGCAACCTTTGAAGTAGTAAGATGAAGAATTCTGTTCTTTGAGGAAAAGTCGGATTAATTCTTATCTTTGCTATGCATTCTTCAAAAAGGAAGGAGAACAAAATAGTTTCAAAGAAAAGCAAAACTTCAGGGAATATGTATTCAGCAAACCTGCCTTGCAAGAAATGTTAAAAGCAGTGCAGATCCTTGGGCATGGTAGTTCATACTCCGGAGGCAGAGGCAGGCAGATCTCTGTGAGATGGAGACCCGCCTGGTCTACATAGCAAATTCCAGGACAGCTGGAATAGCAGGGGAACCAATCCTGGCTCAAAAAAAAGGGGGGGGGGGGGGGACGACACAAAACATTTCACCTTTCTTATGTTTAGCTGGTATAACAGATAATTATGTCTGCAATAATACCAATAATATATCAAATAGGCTTACATATATATATGTACATAAGTTATGTATACTTATGTATGAATAAAATGAACAATAGCAATAATGACTTAACAGATCACTACAATGGTTCTTAATGCACACACACTTAGACAACATGGCATCACAATAAACAGGCAAAAAAATAAGAGAACTGCAAAGAAAAATAGATATATCTATTACTATAGTTGGAGATGTTAACATTTCACCCAGAATTAAGACTGATTCATTCAGTAGAGATTTAGTTAGAACATAGTAGAACTTAACTGCATCGGAATCTATTTCTGTATACTTGCAATACACACACACACACACACACACACACACACACACACACACACACACTCCCCACGGGCATAAGATATACTATGGTCTTCTCAAATTGACTTGAAAAAAAAATCAAAGTAATGTCAGAAACAACCAAAAAACAAACACAGCAATACATTTTTTTAGATGAAACATTTAGCAGATAGGTTTAAACTTACATGGAAATGCAGTCAAAATAATAGTCAAGACAACTGAGATGACTAATAGACATACACAATTTTATACTGGCAACGCTACTGTCATTATTTGGATCTTAAATGTCCTCCAAAAACTAGGGTATTAAAAGCTTGACACACAGATGGTGGTGCTATTGAGAGATGGTGGAAAATTTAGGAGATGAGGCCTCACTGGAAGAAGTAGGTCACTGAGCACATGATGCAAAAAGGTCCATCTTTTCCTCACTTTGCTTCTCAGCTACCAAGGTGGGCAGGCTTATCTTACTACCTGTTCTTGTCTCCTCAGAGGCCCAGAAAGGAGTCAAGTGACCACAGATTGAAATCTTTCAAAGCACAAGCTAAAAGAAACTTTTCCTCCTTAAAATTATTTGTCAGTTATTTTGTCAGACATGAAAATCTGACAACACCTACCTAATAATTTGAGATGAATTAAAGATCTGAAAAAAAAAATCAAAGGAAAAAATTAAACATCTAAAAAGAAAATACA